AATGGAAACAGAAGAACAAAAACATGATAGGACTTTAGAGTAAGATGATATTAAATCTGCACTGGTTATTATTATGTCTTGTTTTCTTCAATATCTGTTCTTGATAACACAGATAATAAAATCAAAAAAACCAGGATAAAACCATTCCAACTAATGCAAGAAAAAATAATAAGGCTTCAAAGCAATGTAATGGGGAATCATGATTACCATAGATTCTTATGTACTCTTACATTTCTTACACTAGGAAGATTATACGGTATTTATAGCTGTGAGTTTGATTTATTTCACTTATGAGTATGGTCTCAAGTTGCATCCATTTATTTATAAATATCTCAATGTGATCAGCCTTTATAGCTGAGTAGTACTCCATTATATAAAAATACCACAATGTTTATCCATTCCTTAGTTGCTGGACACTTAGGTTGTTTCCAAGATCTGGCTATTACAAATTGTGCTGCTATAAACATGTGTGCACAGATATATATCTCTGTGGTTTTCAGTTCTTCTGGCAATGTGCCTAGAAGTGGAATAGCTGGGTCAAATGGGACATACAATCCCAGCTTTTTGAGGAACTTCCAGACTTATCTCCACAGTGGTTGCACCAGTCTACACTCCCACTAACAGTGCAGGAGAGTTCCTTTTTCCCCACAGCCTCTCCAGCATTTGTTGTTGGTAGTTTTCTTGATCCTGGCCATTCTTTCTGGAGTGAGATGAACTCTCAGTGTTGTTTTAATTGGTATTTCTATAATGACCAATGATGATGATGATCATTTTTCATGTATTTATTTGCCATTTGTATTTCTTCATCTGAGAAATGTGTATTCATCTCAGATGCTCATTTTTGGGAAGGGTCTTTGAATTTGGGGATTCTCATTTTTTAAAAATCTTTGTATGTTTTAGACAGAAATCCTTTGTCTGAGGGAGAGTTCACTAAGATTTTTTTCCCAGTTTATGGGTTTCTTTTCACTATGCTATAGATTGCTTTTGACATGCAGAAACTTTTTAATAAGATGTGATCCCAGTTATTCATTCTGGGAAGTATTTCTTGTGTGGTTTGATGGCTGTTCATGAATTCCCTACCTACCCCTATGTCTTCAAGTTACTTACCTAATATATCTTCCAACAGGTTGTTTCTGTTTTAATATTCAGATATTTGACCCATTTAGATTTATGTTGTGAAGTGAATGGGTCTCGTTTTAGTTTTCGTAATATGCACCATTTATTAAAGAGACTGTCATTATTCCAGTGAACCTGCTTGGCTCCTTTATCAAAGATAAAGGGGTTGAGTGTGTTTGTAGTTGTGATTGTATCTTCTAATCTATTCCATTGATCTTTGGCTCTGTTTTTATTCCAGTACCATGTTGATTTTACCACAGTTGCTTTGTAGTATAACTTCAAGTCAGGGGTTGTGATGCCTCCTGCCTTGTCTTTGCTGCTTAGAATTGCCTTTGCAATTCTAGGTCTCTTCTGGTTCCTGATGAATTTTAGGAGTGATTTCTCTAGTTCTATGAGGTATGTTGATGGTAATTTACTTTGGATTGCACTGAATCTGTATAACAGTTTTGGGAGAATAGCCATTTTTCACAATACTTATTCCTTCTACCCATGAGCAAGATATGTCTTTCCATTTTCTAAGATTCTCTTCATTTTCTTTTTCAGGGTATTGTAATTTTCCCTGTACAGATCTTTTACTTCTTTCATGAGATTAATTCTTAAGTATTTCAGTTTTTTGGATGCTAGTGTGAAGGGTGTGGCTTCTCTTAATTCTCTCTCAGTCATTTATTTCTTTGTTAGTGTTTAGAAATGCTATTGATTTTTGAGTATCATTATTGTATGCAGCTACATTGCTGACTTTATTTATTATACCTAGGAGTATTTCAATAGAGCTTTGGGGATCATCTCTGTAGAGTATCACGTTGTCTGCAAATAATGAGAATTTAACTTCCTTTTTTCCCCTTTCTTTACTCCATTTACTTGTCTGTCTTGTCTACTTGCCCTGGCTAGTCTTTACAATACTATGTTGAATAGCGACATTGATAAGGGGCATCCTTATCTTGTGCCTGATTTTAAAGTAAAGGCTTCCAGTTTTTGGCCTTTAAATATGATGCTGGCTGTTGGTTTGTCATATATGGCCTTTATCACATTGAGGTAAAGACCATCTATTCCAATTTTCTGTAAGGTTCTTTTCATGAATGAGTATTGGACTTTATCAAAAGCTTTTTCTGCATTTATAGAAATGATCATGTGATTTTTACTTTTGGCTTTATTGATATGGTGGATTACATTTATTGATTTATGTATTTGGAACCATCCCTGCATGCCTGGAATGAATCCCTCTTGGTCATCATGTCTAACCTTCTTGATGATTTGCTGCATCCTGGTTGCCAATATTTAATTGAGGATTTTTGCATTTGTTTTCATTAGGGAGATCGGTCTATAGTTCTCTTTTTTAGTTGGGTCTTTCTCAGGTTTTGGTACTAGAGTAATATTTGCTTCCAGTAATGACTTAGGAAGGATTGCTTCCCTTTGAATTTCATTGAAGAGTTTGAGGAGTGTCAGCAGTAAATCTTCTTTGTACTTCTTGTAGAATTCTGCAGTGAATCCATCTGGGCCTGGGCTCTTCTTTTTAGGTAAGTACTTAAATATATTTTCAATTTCATTACTACAAATTGGGTGATTCAGCAGTTTTACCAGCTTTGGTACTTTATATGTTTCTAGGAATCTATGTCTTTGTTCTGTGTTATTGAACCTATGAGAGTAGAGGCTTTTGAAATAAGTGTTGATGATTTTCTGTATTTTCACAGAATCTGTAATGCTTTCACTTTTTTCATTCCTTGTTGCATGCATTTGAGCTTTTTCTCTCTTTTTTAAAATAAGGTACACAGGGGCTTATCAATTTTATTTATTCTTTCAAATAACCAACTCTTTGATTCATTGAGCCTTTGAATTGTTTTCTTAGTCTCTATTGCATAATTTCTGCTGGATTTTTATAATTTCCCCTTCTTTTGGCTTTGGGCTTGACTTGCTCTTCTTTTCCTAGATGTTTGAAATGTAGCATCAGGTTGTTTATTTGTATTCATTCTGTTTTCCTGATGTGGGAACTCAGTGCAGTAAGTTTTCCTTTGATAATTTCCACAACGATAAATTGTGTTTGTATTTTCCTTTGCTTGTAGGTATTGTTTAATTTCTTCTTTAATTTCCCTTGTGACCCATTGATTGACAAGACTGTATTATTCAATTTCTAAGTGTTTGTGGAGTTTTCACAGTTTCTTTTATCACTAATTTCTAGTTCATGGTGCTATCATTGATTTCTAGTTTCATGTTATCTGATAACATGCTTAGGATAATTTCAATTCTTTTGCATTTATTTAAATATGTTCTGTGGGCTAGTATATAGTCTCTTTTAGAGAGCATCCTGTGTACTGCTGAGAAGAATGTATATTCTGATGTTGTTGGATGGAACACTCTGTATATGTGTATCAAATTCATTTATTCACATATGTGATTCAGTTCTGTTATTTCTTTGCTGGTTATCTGTCTGGTTGATCTGTCCCTTAGTGTCAATGGTATGTTAAGGTCTCCTGTTATAATTGTGGTATTGCTAATTTGATTTTTCATTTCTATTAATACTTGCTTTGTATAACTGAATGCTCTGGAATTTGGTACATATATTTAAGATTTTTAAATCTTCATTATACAGATTTCCCCTAACTAGTATGTAGTGATCTTCTTTATCTCTTAGGATTATTTTTGGTTTGAAGTTGACATTGTCTGTAAACAGAATAGCTGCCCCCACTTTTTTTGGTTCCTGTTGCATAAAGTATTGTTTTCCATTCTTTGACTTTCAGTCCGTGAGTGTCCATTTGGGTTAAATGGGTTTATTGTAGACAACATATGGTTCGATATAGTTTCTTGATCCATTCTGCCAGTCTGCTTCTTTTAAATGGTGAAATGAGTCCATTTACATTAATGGTTATAACTGTTATATATTGGTTTATTGTTGACATGTTATCTTTCTGCTGTTGTATGTTTGTCTTTCCATTCTTTTTAATGATCTGCTTTGCTGCAGTCAAGCATAGCCAACAGGATTGGGTAAGATAAGTTTGGGTGTGCTTTAAGGCAGTGTACGCCCCTTCAATCAAATTGAACAGGTTAGAATTTGGATACTGGGGGGTAGGTATGTGATCTGATTGGTGTATGGGGTTTGGGGTGGATGGGAAGGCACGGGAAATGCTCAGGGTTGGGTGACTTACGGTGGTTTTTTGGACAGCAGTAATGGGATTTGTATTGGACAGATTGTAGTTTGGCTTTAGAACAAGATTTGGGCCTATAGGCATGGATGAAATCTGTAGAGAAGCCTTTTTATTGGGAATAAGGCCACCCCTGTCTGAGCCAGATTCATGATATTGCATTCCCCAGGTCCGTCCTGTCAGCCAGCCAGTTTCATCAGGGGTGGTGATGGTTGTATCTATTATATGGCAAATCTGGCCTGTTCTGCTATCCCACCAGGAGGGAGAATGGGAGGAGCGCCACAGTGGGCAGCAGTCTGATGCTCCCCGCTTTACTTTAAGATGTTTATCAGGTATGTAGGGGTCCCATTCTGTGGCAGCTGTTTCACAGCCCAGGTAGGAACAATAATAATGTCCTGGGGAATTACAATATGGTCTGCCTCCTACTGCGGCGGGACAAAAATATACTGACAATGTATTTTGGCATGGATTAATGGGCACAAGGACACAGGACCGGACCTTAAAATTTGGATCCTACCCAGGTTGTGACCTCCATTTGACAATCCCAAAGAATGATTGACCACTTCCAAGGTTGGTGGGGATTATCAGTCATTGTGCACAGGTGTAGTCGTGTTAGAAATCTGACAGTGATCCACATGGAAGCCAGCATTGCCTGTAAGAGAACACAAAAGGTTTGGGCCTCAGGAGATGGCATCACTCCTGGGCGTCATCTGGATTTTTAGATGAAGGGCTGTCTATTTGCTTTACAAGTCACCCGGGTAGCCATCGGGCTCCCTTTTCTTGTTTGGAGTAAACACACACTGAGCCTCGGCCCCAGATGAGGACAGGGTCAGGGCCATTCCAGGTGTTGGTTATTGGGTCCCACCATAACACAGAGGCAAATTGTGTTTGTGTCTGCGTGTGCCAGAAGCGAGATGCTGCAGAGCAGCCTGAGGTGTCCAGAGATAAAAAAAATTAAAATGAAGAGGGCATGTGAGAGGACATTTCTGGGAGACCCTCGGGTTGGGTACCAGGTGCCTGTTTTTATTTTATCTATGTTAGATTTGAGGGAGTGATGTGCACATTCAACAATACCTTGTCCTTGAGGACTATAGGGAATACCTGTAGTATGGAGAATGTTGAGGCACTTGCAAAATTGAGCAAAAGAGGTGCTGGTATAGCCAGGACCATTATTTGTTTTGAGCTGTTGGGGATATCCCAGGATGGAGAGGGCTGACAGCATGTGGGCTATAACATGTTTGGTAGCTTCTCCTGTCTGCAGGGTGGCAAAAATGAAACCGCTGTATGTATCAACAATCACATGTATATATTTTAAGTTTCCAAATTCATTGACATGTGTAACATCCATTTGCTATAGGGTGTTAGGGATTAAACCTTTTTTATTGACTCCTAGATGTTGAACAGGTATCTGAATAGCACAAGAGGGGCAATTTTTTTACAATTTGTCGAGCTTGTTCCCGAGTGATTTTGTGGAGGAGATGAAGGGTTTGGGCATTGAGGTGGTGTAACTGATGAGTCTGTTGGGCCTCCAATACCTTAGAGTCTTCTGTGAGCTCAGAATGGGTCATGGAAATCTGTGCCCACGTGGCAATATCAACCAAATGATTTCCCTGAGCAAAGGGACCCAGGAGGCCAGAATGAGCTCTTAAATGACCAATGAAAAACTTATGACTGCAAAGTCGAATCATGTCTTGTAATTGTTTGAATAGGTTTGCAGCTGGGGAGACATGACTTATGGAGGCAACAGTCTGAAATAATAATAATAAAGGAACAGACAGCGAGATAGGCAGTATCAGTAAACAAATTGAAGGGTTGGTCAGGGTAAACAGTAAAAACTGCAAGGATAGCCTGTAGTTCTGCCAGCTGCGTGGATGATGTATCTGTCTGTAGGATAAAAATGTTGTTTTGTGCTACATAAGCAGCTCTGCCGGAGGAGGAACCATCAGTGAATAACACTGGGGCATCGGGAAGAGGTTGTGGAGCTATAATCTTGGGGAATACAAATGAGTGATGGTTAGCAAAATCAATCAATTTATTTGGAGAGTAATGATTATCAATGGTCCCTGAGAAGGAGGCTAAAGCAATAGGCCATGCCTCAGGGGTCTGCAGCAGCCAGTCCACCTGATCTTTGGTGAAGGGTTGAATGATGACATCTGGTTATTTTCCAAAATAACATTTTCCTAGCTTTCTGCCTCGAATTATCAGGTCAGAGACCACTTGGTAGTAAGGCAATTATACTCTCTTTGGGGAGACTGGCAGATGAAGCCACATAAGGGGAGCTTGCTGCCAAAAAACTGTTGTGGGAGTTTTGTGTTAAAAATGAGAAATTTTTCTGGCTTGTTATAATCTAAGAAGGAGACAGTTTCTTGGGTGATAGCCTCTTCCACTGTGTGGAGTGTTTTTCTAGCATTGGGTGTGAGCTCTTGGGGGGAAGTTGGGTTAATGTCTCCTCAAAGGATCTCATAGAGGGGTTGTTGATCATATTTGGTCAATTTTAAATAGGGTAAAAGCCAATTAATATCACCCAGAAGCTTTGAAAATCAAGTGCCTTAAGGTTGTCAAGTCTTAGTTGGGGCTTTGGTGAATATATTTGAGTGCCCTTTAGCTGAAAACCCAAATATATGTATGGGTCTGTAAGCCAGACTTTATCTGGTGCTATTTGGAGTACAGCCTCTTGTAAGGCGGCCTGTAGTGCCTGATAACATTGTAAGGTCTGGTCTTTATTTTTTCCTGCCAAGAGGATATCATCCATATAATGAAGGATGTATATGTTTGGCCAATGACCTCTAATTGGCTGTATGGCAGTGGCCACGAAAGCCTGACATAAAGTAGGAGAGTTGGCCACCCCTTGAGGGAGGACACACCATTGAAACCTCTACATAGGAGCCGGAAAATTAATGGATGGGAGACTAAAGGCCAAGTGTTTTTGATCTGGTGGATGTAGGGGAATTGAGAAGAAACAGTCTTTGAGATCTATGACAATTTTGAAAAATCCTAAAGGAATGGCACTGGGTGAAGGAAGTCCTGGCTGTAATGGTCCCATTATAACCATGGTTTTGTTTATTGCTCTGAGGTCTTGTAACAACCTCCATTTTCCTGATTTCTTTCTAACTACAAAAATGGGTGTATTCCAGGGGGAATCACTTGGTACAATGTGGCCTGCATTTAGCTGGTCCTGCACCAGCTGTTGAGCAGCTGCAAGCTTTTCAGATGTAAGGGGCCTCTGATCGACCCAAACAGGCGTATCTGATAACCACATAATTTATTTGGCATGGGCCGCAGGAACGTCAATGACCCCTATTGAAAATGGCCTAAGCCTGCTCTTGAAGGGTTTGGGGTTGGAGAAATAGGGACTTTAATACCTGAACTCTGTTTACCTAGGCCTTGATTAGGAAGGAATCCCTGAGTAAGCATTTATTTGGTGACTATAGTATTAGGGCTGCCCATCATCATTCCCATTTGGGTCAGCAAATCTCTACCCCACAAATTAAGGGGTAGCCCTTCCACAATATAGGGCTGTATGTGCTCTTGATTGTTTTCTTTATCTTTCCAGGTAAGTAGATTGGCACTACAATGTGGATTTTTAGATTGTCCAATCCCTTGCAGATGAGTCATAGTAGTCTGTAGAGGCCATGTGGGAGGCCAGTCCTCTTTTCTAATGAGTCACATCAGCACCTGTATCTATGAGCCCTGAGAAACTTTTCCCATTGAGCAACAAAGCCATAAGGGGTTTATCTTTGAAAATAAATTGAGCCCAATATATATCTGAAGACTCAAGGGAAGAATTTCCCCTATAGGAAGCCACAGCTGCTTTACAAGTTTGAACCAAAGGCAATAGCCCAATTGAGCAATACGTTGTCCTTGACTAATGGAAACCAGGCCAGAGATAGAGGATGCCATAACAGTAATTTCACCAGTATAGTCATTATCTATGATTCCTGGGACAACTTGTAATCCTTTCAATATTGTGCTGCCACATCCAAAGACTAACTCACATGTGTCCTTGGGAAGGGGGCCAAAAAACCCAATAGGGATGGCTTGTATGCCCATGTCAGGAGCTAATACTGTGTTGGAGGTGGAACAGAGGTCCAGTCCTGCACTTGGCGTGGAGAAGGTCTGAAACGGATTGCTTCATGCTGGATTGTTTTGTTGCTGTGGGACAAACCTTATAGCCCCGGGGGTCTGTCTCAAGTTGGGGGTCTGGGGCTGACCCAGAATCCCATTTCCCTGCTGGGGGAGGGGATTGCTATCTGCATCTGTCTTTGACTTGCATTCATTAGCCCAATGATATCCCCTTCTGCATTTTGGACATAAGCTTGTAGGTTTTGGTCTTGAGTTATTGTGTTGAGACTTTGGGGCTGTTGGGCATTCTCTGGCAAAATGGCCCATCTGATCACATTTAAAACATTTGCCATTATTTGTTTTTCCTCCTTGCTTGTATACAAGGAGGGTCTCCTTTACAGCTGCAGCTGTACTTGCAGCTGTGACCTGAGCTTGATATATGGGGAGGGCCTATATCAGTGCACAAGTGAATATAACCTGAGAGATCTTCTCTTTTTCTATATGGTTTGGCAGGCAGAATTTGCATTTTCATATGCCAATTGCTTAACTAGATCAGGGTTGTCCTCAGAGGTGCCAAAAAGATGCTCAGTTGCCTGTAAGAGGCGACCAACGAAATCACAGAAAGGCTTCTTGGGTTTTTGTTTAATTTTAGTAAGAGAAGAAGAAACTCCACCAGACGGGAGTTTTTCCCATGCTTTAGTTGCCGCCACGTGATCTGAGCAAAAAGGCCTGCCTCATATCACATTTGGGCTTGTTGTGTCGCATATCGGCCTGTTCCTGTTAGCATGGGAAGAGTATAATGATTTTTCCTGTTAACATTATCTTTAGCCAAAAGTTCACATTGGTGTTGGAATTCTGCTTTCCAGAGCAGATAATTGCCCCCCTGAGAGTCTAGCTCTAGTTAGATCTCTCCAATCATGAGGTGTAATCCAACCTTGGGTTAAGGAGTCTAAAACTGCAAGAGTGAAGGCTGCCATGGAGCCATATTGGGTTACTGCTGTTTTTAATTCTTTCAGGGCAGTTACAGGGAATGGTGTGTGGGCCCTGTTAGCCGTGCCCTGGAGGGTCTGTTTCTGTATCACTATCATGTAGGTCAGAGTCATTTTCTTCCTCGCTATCATCAATTTTTATTTCCCACCTCTGTAGATGTGGTGGCTGTCTATCTCTCCTGGTTGTTGTAGTAGCCTGTGTTTTGTTCCTTCTGCTTTCCTGACTTGGGGACCGATCCTCATGTCTAGTTCATCCCTTTGTCTCCCTCTTTCCTTAACTGTTTAGTTCCCACCATTTTGTAGACCAGCGCCATCTTGGGCAGGTTGAATTGTCTCCCTGCCATCTCGTGGGCTGATATCTACTTTGGTGGTCTGGGTGATTTCTGTTACTGGAAACATTAAAAGAGGCGCTGTTTTTAAGGCACCCATTTTTGGTGGGTGAGTTGTTTCTGTTACTGGGAACATCATTGTTGGTGTGTCTGAGAAGGGATGAAAGCCTACATCTAACAACTGGAGTTGCAAAATGAGTCTCTGTTTCTCCTGTTTTGATTGGAGCCTCTGTTGTAAATAACGAATTTCTGTTTCTAAAGCAAGGAGATCAGGAGGTGGACCAGGCGGCTTTTGGAAGTCAGGCTGGGTGTTATCTGGTTTTCTTGTCAGTATTTTAGTCATTAATTTGGGATTGATGGATAATGCAGGGGCTGCAAAAGGGGTTTTCTTACCCTGATATTGCACAGCCTCTTCTGCCAATTGCAACTAATCAACCTCTTGGAACTTAGAAAGGTCAGGGTACATAGGCCTACATAACAGAGGGGATGTGGTGGCACCAAGCTCTAAGGAGTGCTGGGAGCCACTTTGAATAGTGGCGCCTTTTTGAGTATCCCCATGTGCTCTAGAAAGGGGAAGTGACAGCAAGTCGCCATTTTGGGAGTCTCTGGAGGGAGAGAAGCTGCCATCTTGAGGGGTCTCTGGGATATCAAGAACCACAGATCCAGGAGAGCTGGGTGCCTTGGATAAGTCCGGTGGGTGTGGGGTACAACTGCGGGAGGCAGATAATGCAGCCTCACCCTGAGCAAGCATCTTTGCAATCTGGGGATCCGCATGACATTATGTCAACAGCTCAGAAACTAAAGTCCAATATGCAAAAGAAGTTACCGGAACTTTTTCTGGACCAAAAACTATAATAGTCTTTGAGAGCATCTCCTACTCTTTGCCATCTTTTTGAGTCAATGGTGCTCTCTAGTGGGAACCATGGGCACACAGAATGCACAAACTGAAAGTAGTGTAATAAATCTTTTGTTTTAACCTTAATCCCTCTGACCTTGAGTGCCTCACTGAGGCCATTCATGAACAATTCATGCTCACTAAGTGCTTGCCCCATGCCAGTAGAGAGATAAGATCCATTCACCTACCATGATTCAGGTGAGTTGTAAGGAGGCTGTCTGCACGGATCACAGGGACAAACCCCTTGGATCAGTCACGCTGTGCAGCAATTTACTCCTGTGAACGATCCCGCGTTGAAACCTCTCATGCCATGCCCTACATTGGGCGCCACTTGATCTGGCCCATGGATCAATCTGTGGGTCTTTCCTG